CACGGCACACGTTTCCACTGTCCCTCGGCCCATCTGAGATGAGCTCAGGCCCAAAGAACTTGACAGCCTTAGTGCACAGAACTGATGTATGACTTCCTCCTTGCCTCAGTTTCAGGTTGCATTTGTGGATGCAGCAGCAGCAGACTGTGCTAAGTGACTCCGCCTTTCATCCCCACTCATGATACCCTCACCGGTTAGCAGTTAACCTGCTAATTTTGAATCTTCCAGAATGGTGATACTGGATTATTCTATAAACTTTTCAGTCTTACTTAGCTTCTCTCCCAACTCTTTTGAGTGTATTGCAGACATCAAATTCTGAATTTGTTTATATTTATAAAATGCAATTATGTCAGTCAGTGAAAGCACTGAAAACCTTTTTTTTTGTATTTTTGTCAGTTAAATAAAGTTCAAGTGAATTAACAAATCACAGATTTGAGTTTTTAATTGCATTTTGGAAAATGTTCCAACTTTTCTGGAAATGGGGTTTGTAAAACTTAATGACATCTAATGTCATAATGACCGGGTCATGTAAGAGGACACCCCAGATTATATCTAAACGTTTTCCCAACATGAGCCAACTTCCTGGGGCTGCAGCTAGTCCCAAGGCCAGAGTGGTTCATTTAGATCACAAGCAGCATTTAGTTAGACATGTTTATAGCAAGAACTGGGTAGACTGATCACACACACACAGCACAGATTAATGATAAGTATACTTAACAAGATACATGCTGGGCACAAAGATGAGATAGACCTGCCTTTCCTGGAGTGACTCCAAGGTTTATGGCTTAACATATGAAACTTGTAACTGGTGTTAATGGCACACACAACAGAGCACTGTTCTTTATTAGGCTCCAATTAAATAATGTTTTTACTCAATTTATTAATTTATCATTTTCTCTCTCAATATAAATACTCTATCTATATATGAAAGTTGTGTGTATGAAAGAAAATTTGCATATGCAAAAACCAACTTGCATGTGCGATAGTTACTGTAACACACTAGCCCACATTGTTTAATCACACACACACCACCTTTGATAGACATCTTTTACAGCTAGTCCTACTGAGACAACTAGCAGTTGTGATAACATTTATTATAAACCAGCCTGTACACAATTAGCTCCACACTGGTAGAGAAATGAACTGGTGTTCCCAGTAGGCTGTCACCTGACAGCGTCGGTTAAAGGCACAGCCCCCTCACACAGTTGAAGCAAGCATGGAAAACTGTTCTTTGCAGATGTGCTGTTAATGCAAAACCCAGACAGCTGCTATGCAGACAGTCAGCTTCACTCCTGATAAACCCGATCAGTATTATTGACATTGGATCACAAAAAGCAACTTTGTATGCCAAGTTTTTTTTCCTCTGGAATATTATAACCAGGACAATAATTCCAGATCCAACTGCTCCTCTGTCACCAGTTCCCCAAAAAAAACTAAACGGATGTCAAACACAGAACCTTAGTGCCTGTATTTATTACATATCTATACAGTGTAGTCTACCAGCAGAATACTTTTCCTTAGCACTAACTGCCTTCAGAGTTTTGTATTTTGCAGAAGCTCTAATTGTTCCTCTTTATATTATAAAATGAATGTCAGTTAAGCTCGTGTAGTACAAAGTGAAAATAAATATAATGTTAAAAGATTAAAAATTTGTATTTCTTGTTTGTCTGATTACTTTTTGCATTTTGCCTTGTCCATATCCCTGTATAAGAATAGTGTTTAGTCGATGGGAAATAATGAGTGTTTGTGTTCTTCTCTGCAGGTGTGTCATCTGTATGATGGACTTTGTGTATGGAGACCCTATCCGGTTCCTGCCCTGCATGCACATCTACCACATGGACTGTATAGACGACTGGCTGATGAGATCCTTCACCTGCCCCTCCTGCATGGAGCCTGTGGACGCCGCGCTGCTTTCCTCCTATGAGACCAACTGACAAACACACTCACACCCACAGACACCAGTGGACCAGACTGAACACACACACATACAATATGGACAAATGGACATACACACAACTTTCATCTATATCCTGGATTAGTAAGGCAGTGATATCAGAGTGATCATATAAAAGATTCCTGGTGATCTCTCTTGTTTGTGTGTGTGTGTTTGCCTCAGCGTGTGTGTGTGTGCGCAGAAGTTCCTCAGTTGACCTGCTGGCAGGGTTCCATCTGGGAAAGGACTGCGGAAATTGACAGTGTTGGTGTTAAGGACGAGCAGGAAGAAGCTTGTTTTCGGTAAGGAGTAAAAGCCAGGGCGGCGAGAGCGAGGGAGTGTTGGCACTACAAAGGCAAGTTAAGCAGAATGAATGACAGTTAACTGTTCAGATCTTGGAAAGGTTTCTTAATCCTCTTTTGTAAACATGAATACGCATTGAAGTGTACCCAGTCACACACTTCCTCATTATTGAAATTAGCCTTAACATGACATCTGATCACAGTCATCAGGCTGCACATTGCATTTATTGGACTGCTGAAGCCTGAATACTGCATTGTTGTACTGCAAGACAACGAAAAAAAAACTAAATGCCCTTCAGAAGATCTGCCAGGCATCTGTTGCAGAGTCATATCTGCTGCAAAAACCTTTGTAGACACAACACAGGCCTCCACATGTTGCTCTGTAGAAAAATGAGAAAAATGTCTCATTAGAATAGTGAGATCATTCGGTGGGTTGATTCATTGCCCTGGGGCTTTGTGATCTCTGTTCTGTTTGCAATGGCAGTTGGCATAAGGGTTAGGGTTACCCTGTTGAACAGGTGTTTACTAACAACACAGACATGGCAAAAGAAAGCACAGGATGTGCTTTATCACTAATGTGATGGATAGCTGCTAGTCTAGTCCCAGTGACATCTCCGATTATTGGCTAAAGCACAAGTAGACCAGTTAAACCATTGATAAATACTGTATGAAAGTATTCAGTAATTATGTCAGTGATTTGCTTTACCTGCATTTCCATTACCATTGCAGTGACTGGGTAATCCAAACCATTGTGTCCAGGGAACCAGGGATGGGGGCATAATCTCTTACTAATGGCATTAACCAAACTACTGAATTCATCCAAAGTTTGGCACCCCTGGTATTGTCCAAATCATGGAAAGGTCACCTAAGGTGGGGCTCATTTGTTGTGTTTACATATGTAAAGTATCAACGTCTTTTACTATGGCAAATGTTGATCAAACCAGACCTAAAGCAAACAGTCACAGGCGAAGCAGTTCAAGATATTGGATGACACCCTCAGAACAGTGATCATGAATCTACTGTAGTGATGAGCTGTGTGTCAGTAAGAATGACTGAGGACATTTACCTGGTGTGGTGAGAAGCATCAGTTATGCAAGGCTGACTATAGATTCTCAGTTTAGAAAGGCTATGTTTTATTTTATTGTTTTCTTCATTTTCTTCACATCGAGGTGAGACCTCTCTGTCCGCCTCAGTCACCGAATTTACTATGAAAGCACAGATAGGTACAAATGTCCCATTTTAATTTCCTTCTTCTCCCTGCTAACAGTTGAGTCAGTGACACTTGAATTGTGCAAGAAATGTTAAATCATTGGATGATCTGTGTGTGTGTGCCTCTGTGTGTGTTGGTAGAAGACTTTATGGCCTCTGTGTGTCATATTGGGTGTGGAGGTGGCCGTCAGCGCCTTAGTTTTTGCACAATATTTTAATCTACTTATGTCTTTATGTTGTACCTTGTCCTCCATCATGAAGGTGGAGCTTCATGGCCTTAGGTTACATGTGAGTGAGGGTTGGTATCAGCTGCTGATATGTGGAGCATAGCCCAGCAGGAAAGGTGGAGGGGATACACGGCCCCAACCTCAAATCCTGCTACCGAGCAGTCACTGTATGTCATGAAGAAGACAAAAGATGTCAACTGTCCTGCTGCATTGTCACAAAACTAAAAAAAATAAACTGTCAGTGTGTCATGGTGTTTGGGTTAAGTTACATCACCTGACTGTGGTCCTGATGGGTCCTGTACGGTCACATAGTTGGTTCAAACCGCCTTCATATGCACCATGCAGCAGATTACATTTTTGGACACAAATGCCATTTCTAATGCCTGGTTTGTGGGGATAAAGTTGAACCATGGCATCGTGTATGTCAGTTTATATCTGATATGGTTCCTTAAAAAAAAAAAAAAAAGGGGGGTTCCCACACACACACACACACACACACACACACAGAGAGAGAAAGATTATTCACTTACATTCTGAGTCCAGTAAAGACGAGCTGTCTCCCCAGGCTGTATTCACCAGGCTCCCAATTTGTACTCGTCAGAGTCAAAAGTTGAGTCTAAGTTAGGAGAAGTTTTAGGTGTTGCCCAAACTAGATTTCCTGTTATGCGCTAAGATCCCCGGAAAATGACACAGCAAATTTCTCAGAAGTTTGCATGCAATGGAACAGCTGTATGAAATGTTGCTTAATCTTCATCATAGCTTTGGCTATGACTTTGAACCTTATTTATTCAAAATACTCAACCAGGATTGAACAACAAGGTTTGCTCATATGTGAATGTGAAATGTATGTTGTATGTTTGTGTATGGATGGTTGTTAGACCTTTCCTTGTTTGTAAGCAGATATGTGCTGTGTACTACAGGCAAGTAATAAATAGACAACAGAACATAATTGTCTGTGGGGGTGAATTATTGCTAAAAAGGAAACACCATAGTTTCATTGTTTTTTTTCCCCTCCAGTCTTTTGTAATAAACTTGTAAATGTGACCACAGCATCCATGACTAATAAGTGTGCTGTGTTTTAGTGGCAGTTTCAGGTAAGGGATTCCTGGTATCAAATTGCTTAAATTAATGTTTTATAAGGAACATAAATTTGTTTTAATTTTGCAGCACTTGGTTAATGTTCACAATAGCCTCAATACCTTTATGAGAACCTCCTTTTTTGTGCAAGGAATTCCAAGACTTGCATGTCAGATGCTACCATAATATTTTCAAAAGGCAGGCACTTTGGTAATGCAAGCAGAAATATCACTCACTTCTGCACTAAAGGTCCTTTTTGATCATTTTTAGTCTATACTTATACACCGATCTGCGCATTACACTGGCAGGTGAAGTGCAGAACATTGATTGCGTCATTGCGATGGCACCTGTGAAAGTGCCAAGGAAATATTAAGGCAGCAAATGAAAAGTCAGTTTTTGGATTCAGGGGAAGTGGGAGAGCATAAGGAGCGACTCTGACAAGGGTCAGTGGGTCAGGGCGTCTTCAAACAGGCAGGTCTTTTGGGGTTTTCCCGGTTCGCACTAAAAGTGGTCCAAGGGAGGACAAATAGAGAACCGGTGACAGGGTCATGGGCGCCCAAGGCTCATTGACGCACGTAAAGCGCAAGGCTAACCGTGTGGTCTGATCCCGCAGAAGAGTTACTGTAGCATAAATTGCTGAGAAACGAATGAGGACTGTATGTTTGCGTAGCAGCAGACCGGTCACCAGGTAGCGCTATGGGAAGAAGGCAACTCGGCGGAGGCAGCGTGACGCTGTGGGCGAGGTGCGAACCGCACAGATTCTTCAGGACGCCTTCGCAGTTCTTGTGGAGTCCATGCCTTGAAGCGTCAGCTGTTTCCTCGGCACAAGGTGACTTATCTAATAACTGACAGGTGTTTGTTGTTGTGGCTGATCGGTGTATACTTATAAATGGGCTAGGCCTACTGTTTTTCTAAGGTCAAATTAAGCTATTTAAACGTGACTCTTCCGTATTCATCATCACCACCCTTTCCCCTTCTGTTCTTCCTCACCTTTGTCCAGGAGCTCATAAATGGACCAGTCCAGGAATTAACACTGGGTCTTTCGAAAACACGCCAAGTTCATAGACGCCCCTTTAAGAATGTGCCCCTGCACAAAATGCAGGTGCAATTCACTGGTTTACATTTGTGGAAGAAAAAAAAAGTGACATCTTCCACAAACATTACAACCTAAAACAAGTACAGCACAGTTCTGGTGTATAAGAGGCTACTGTACTAATGGAATAGTTAGCAATACAATGGTCTAAATTACTCGAAAGGCTATTTGAACAGAGCACCAAAGAAGGAAACTTAAATTATACCGGGTTTCTGCAGGTTTTTAAGTTGAATTGGTCTTTTAAAGACCTTTTTAGATCTTTGAATGCAATTTAAGACGTACGTCCAAGGCGCGAATCGCCAAAAAGGAGGTAAAAATACGTTTGGAGGTGATTTTTACATACAAATTCAATTACGAATCGAAATATATGTTTCCGTTCATGGCTCGAAGAAGCATCTAGCAGTTTGTCACACACTTGAATGACTTGAACCCTGTAACCTGCTCACGGAATGAAGCGAGTCGTAAAACAGGCAGATATGTATTCCTACATTTTAGCAGGTAGTGAATTGTGGTTGAGACAATGAGCTGAAATATTGGTAAGTATTAATTGTTATTTTCAGAAACGTGCTTTTATTTAAGTTGTTTTTTTATTTCAAAACTGATAAGAACATGGAACCACCGTACAACATGTGGTACTACTGTCTTCCCAAAAACAGGAAAGCATAAGTTAATGTCACACTTTAGAGGTGCTTCCAACTTGACGTTAAAATTATCTACACATAACTCGTCACATAAATGGGAACAAGCAGCAATTAGTCAACTGGTAATGTCAGGCTTTACAGTCACATTAACAAGCTAATCATTCACAGGACGAGAGAGAGAGAGGAGAGATTTTATACCTTTAATATTTGTCTTGTGTTTTTCAGTTGGGGAGACCAGATTATTACTAATGCAGCAGGAGCTAAATTTGTTAAATGGATACTTTTTCACAACATGTCAGAATCTGAGTATTATCAATCTAATAAAGGCCTCGTTTGGACACTCAGAACTCCAAAGTGTTAAAGTACAAATAGTTAGTTTCTAAACGTTTCTGAGTGTAAACGACCTTCTGTGGTTACTGGTCACACTATAAAGCCACAGACAAAACACAAGTTTACATGGTGGCTCTCAAATAATGATAATAGGGTCATTTTATTAGGTACATCTGGGCCTGTAACATTGAATGCAGTCTGCTTTTGCTTTGACATTAATTCAACTATGTTTATTAAAAGAGCTTCTAATGCTTTGCCTGTCCCATTTACAAACAAGGGATAGAATGGCTTGTGATGGGGCTGTTATAGCTGTGCCTAATTATGTAGCGTATAAAAATCATGAATCTAATTATTATAGTGTATTGGCTCCTTTTTGTTTTTTTATTTATGTGTACCTCCTCTTCCCTTCCTCTGCACACTCTCATGCATGCAAATGTCCCTACAGAAAATGTTTATCCAAAACATTTTACAAATAATTAGAATTATTTTTTTCAAAGTGGGATTTTGGAAAATGTGGAATTGGATAATTTGTTAAAAATGTTAACAAGGCATGTGCAGAATGTCAGAAGCCAGTAACACTCCAGTCGTCGTCGTGATCCTCTTCCACTAGTCTGAGGGAGAGAAAAAATGAATTAGTTTGTCAGTATAGACTATATTCTGATGACAATGTAAAAAGTGTAACATTATAGACTATATGAAATAGAAACATACAAGTTGTACACACTTTAGTATGAAAGAGCCCATGAAAGAAAAAGTAAACCTGGTGATTTCATTTGCTGCCACATATGTTGTAAAGGAAGAAATGGAAAGCCCCATAAACCTTCACCACAGACAATAGCTTAGTCCTTTGTGCACGAATTACATTTTTGTAGCAGAAGTTTGACTGTAGCTTCCCCCAGAGACCCGGGCAGTGTGTCAGATCAGCACCAGCCAATCCAGAAGGAGCAGTGATCAAACGCCTCCCAGACACAAACCCATATTTGGGTTGACTCCTCCTCTAACGTTTTCTTTTCTGTGTGTGTGTGTGTGTTTTTAAAAACGACCCACCTCTTCCCCAGCCTCACTAACGGGCCTGTACGACTGAAAAAGGAATCAAGGACCTACAGGCTGCTATTCAGGGTTTTGATTCGTTGGGAACTGTTTAGACAGGCCCGGGTCACCACATGTCACCTTGTGGTGACGCTGTGAACGTTTCAGTGTAGTGAGGTGATCGGGGTTGGGGTGGGAAGACAAAGCGCCTGTGAAATTACAGGCGTTAAACAAGTGCTGATTGTTTTTTATCTGTCCCCATCGAGAAGCATCAGTGTTTTAGTCACAACACAAATGAAGAGGACTTCGTGCACACATAACCAAACCGAAAATGAAACCGCTCCATTCTTATTTATGAGTAATTAGTTTGTTGCCATTTCAAAAACAGAGAAACGACTTAGAATGAAATCTGTATTTCCTTCGTGATGTCGTTAGTCGATATCGAGTCCTCTCTCTGTCTTTTATTCAAGCACATGAGCGTGTGCGGGCGCGGCTCACACCCGACTCTGAAGAGTCTTATTGTCAGTGCACTACTGAAAACACAGGCTGTGCACGGCTGCGTAATATTAGTGCACCATGTTAGTGCAGTGCGCATCAATGAAGTGCGTAAAATTAATAAAACCCTTCGACATGTGGACAGCTGCTACAGAGCCTTTGCTATGCCGCGTTTCGTTTTTGTTATAAAAGAAGGCCATTTATGTTTGCACGAAGTCCTCGACATTTGGGTTGTGACGAAGATCTTTTGGATGCTCGTGTCTGGGTGCAGCTGCCATGTGTACGGGCCGGTTGAGCTCCATGGTCAGCGATAGCCGAGAGCCTCTGTCTTGGGCACTTTCACTTTCGGCAAACTGGACCTTTTGGTGCAGGATTTGGCAATGTGGTGACTATATCAATCTGTCGTATTCTGAAACTAATCTAGCCTAATCAGAGCGCTAACCTCTAGCAAAAGAAAAATCAGAACATGAACTCATAGTCATAATCACACTTTCAGATGAGCTGTAGCTAAAAGATTCATTTAATGCACCACAACTAATATAAATGGGGTTGTCAAATGGCACAAAGTGTAGCTAAATTACGAGGCAGCAAAATTCAGAGCCAGGCTGAAAAGCCCAAGGTAGGTGGCCTTAAAAAGCTCATTAAGTTTAGTTTAAAACAAAAGCAGCACGTGTTTATTTTTATTATAAGCTGTAGCCTAATATTTTCAAGTGTGCTGGATATTCTGTAGCCTGTAAAGAAACAAATCGTTGTATAGACATTCTGTAGGCTGGAGGCCCTGCTCAGTGCCGCCGTGCCCATATTGGCGAACTAGACAGTTGTTTGATTTAATTTCATTATTAGGATCCCCATTAGCTGCATGTAAAAACATATAGCATCTTGCGGTGCCCAGAGTGTTTTACGCACAGGAGAGGCTCGCACTGTTATTATTTAGGCTAAGGAGCTGAAATTTGATTATTCGTTAAATATATGTCTTGACTCTATTGTAAAGAGCTTGGAAACGGGTTATTGGAATTATTATGCATTTGGTGCGTTATTTGTGGGCTATGGATCCTCAAAATGCCGGCGTCATTAAAATTGTTGGAACTGCGCACATGACCTTTACACTAAACTATTTGCATTATATTTACATATTGGCCTTTTTGTGTGGTAGGCTTATGTTGCAAATAGATGGGCGGTATAATGGTTTTTCTCCTAGAGCTGCAGTGCATGTGTAACCAGTGGGTTGGTCAGGCCTACAGTATATGGCCATGTGAGCAATTTGTCGTGTTAACCGCGGACATACACCGATCAGGCATATCATTATGACCACCTGTACATATGTATGCACTTCAGTGCAACACTTCTGCCATAACATTTGTGTTTGTGAAGCTCAAAATGTTTTTTTTTTTTTTTTGGTGACTGTCATAAATGTATAAATTATATGTTCTTCCAGTCTGTTTTCAAATTGTTATAGACCTGACAGCTTTTTACTCATTGCTTAAGACATTCATTCATTCATTTACTGTATTTATAGGTGCATCTCAATAAATTAGAATATCGTGGAAAAGTCCATTTATTTCAGTAATTCAACCCAAATAGTGAAACTCGTGTATTATTTAAATTCAGTACACACCGACTGAAGTAGTTTAAGCCATTGGGTCTTTTAATTGTGATGATTTTGGCCCACATTTAACAAAAACCCACTATTTCACTATTCGAGTTGAATTACTGAAATAAATCGACTTTTCCACGATATTCTAATTTATTGAGATGCACCTGTACATGAGAGAAAGGAGCTTTCAAGATTTGAAAGCTCAGCTTGTAAGTGCACCTACCCTTGCTTTTGCTAACTTCTCTCCCCCCTTTATTCCTGAGGTCGACACTAGCCATAGCAGCTTGGGAGCAGGATGGCCAGGTGAGACCGGTCGCTTATGTCACCAGAAATTTATGTCCAGCCGAAAAGAACTATAGCTCCATGAAGTTGACCATGTCTGAAAAGGTCAGGGAGTATTTTGGGGGCCAAAAACATCTTCTGAATCGATTTAAATGATCATTGAGCCATCTAAACACTGCAAAATTAGGAGCCACTGAACTATAGCTTTCGATTATAGTATTTATCAGTCAGGTCATATTATAGAATAATAATAACATTGGATAACATTGTAATAGTAAGAATGCAGCTGCTCTTTCAAGACAGCTAGTGGCCCCAGCCCCGCAAATGGTGGAACATTTCTCCCAGGACTGCAATACTTGTGTCCTTGCAGGTGGGTGGCTAAGGGGAAGTGTATCGACCAATATGCTAGGCAGTCTGCAGTGATAGTTCTGACTGGGTGAGGAGAACACCGACAGAGGCTTCAGGTTGCATTCAGCAGTGCAAAGGGTCATATGGAAGCAGCTGCTTGACAGAGGAAGGAGAGGCATGATGCTAAAGGGTGTGGTAGTGCACCAGAAAGTCTACAAACCCGATTCCAAAAAAGTTGGGACACTGTACAAAATGTGAATAAAAAGAGAATGCAATGATGTGGAAGGTTGAAATTCCAGTATTTTATTCAGAATAGAATATAGATAACATATCAAATGTTGAAAGTGAGATATTTTGAAATGTCATGCCAAATATTGGCTCATCTTGAATTTCATGGGAGCTACACATTCCAAAAAAGTTGGGACAGGTAGCAATAAGAGGCCGGAAAAGTTAAATGTACATATAAGGAACAGCTGGAGGACCAATT